GCTGAGCAACGTCGTCAATCTTGATTTCCTTGTCAAGCAACTTTTGCCTGTCAAGTGTGATACGCAAGAGCCACCTCGACTGTTGATCGATAGTGTCTTGGCTGTCATCGGGAATCAAGAAGTAGGACTCGACCATATCAATATCCTCTACAATGGTTGTGGATTGGACATCCGGATCATAATAGATCTCAGTGACGGCAGTGATCGATCGGAGGTTAGTGTACTCAACCAAACTTCGCAGCTTCTTCGCTTGCTCTTGTTTAGCCAGTGGGGTATCAAGGTACACAGCCATGCTGGGGGTTTTAATGTTCTTGGCCAGATTGAGAATTTCCTTGAGTCGGGGCACACCGAGCGTGACGTTCTTGGAAGACACACCAGCAAAGTGGAAGGTGTTCAGCGTCATCTGCGTGGCGGGCTCACCAATGGACTGGGCGGCAAGAACGCCAACCATTTCACCAGGGTTAACAAACGATCGATCCCATCGGTTTTGAAGCTCGCCAAGGACGTGATCAAAAGCGAGCTTGTTCAAGCGATGCTCCTTGACCACCTCTTTAAAGGCTAACCGAGAACGGAGAAGAGACTTGAAGAGGATGGTAGCACTAGCATCTGCCTCCTTGGAAATCGGATCGTCGCCTCGGACAATCTTGAGCTTGCTGATGACATTCCTCACAACAGGAATGACATCAGAAGGTCTCAAGTTGCTTCGGTCGTTTGCCTTGACATTAAACACGCGCTTCGCTGTCTCAATCATACGACCAATATTGAGAGGGAGCTGCATCGACTCCTCGCCCATTTTTGAGCGATTGATCTGCCGCACTTCACGGCGATCGGCAAGAAGGGCATCCCACTCCTCGTCAAGAAGAGCCATGGAAGCCTTGTCGCCGGTCAACTCGTTACCGTATTCGTAGTCCTTTCGGAACCACTCAGGGGGGTTGGCCAGATCAAGTCGATACTTCTTCTCGAACGCCTCGTCAGACATCTTTAAGATGCCAAGCTTCTGCTTCTCAATGCACATGGCATCAAGACCGTCTTCACCATACAGGAACTGAATAATATCACCGAGAGAGTTGCGAACCGTTCCATCGTATTGAGCATTGAGATCTTCCAGCGCCTTGACCAGACGTCTCTGAATGTAACCAGTCTCAGCTGTCTTGACAGCAGTATCAATGAGACCTTCGCGACCAGCCATGGCGTGGAAGAAAAACTCGGAGGGGGTAAGGCCACGGAGGTAAGAATTCTCTACAAAGCCGCGAGCCTCGGGTGAGTAATCATCCTTGGTGAAATGGGGGAGAGTTCGGTATTTAAAGCCAAATGGAATACGCCTTCCTTCAACAATCTGCTGTCCGACAAGCGCCGTCATCTGAGAAATGTTGATAGATGATCCCTTGGAACCAGACTCAGCCATGGTAACAGCGTTGTTTGAATCCTTCAAACTCCTTTGGGTCGTAGTACCAGCCTGGTCACGAGCCATGTTCAAAGCCATGGAAACCTTGTTCTCGAAAGTAGCTCGGACATTCATACCAGGCAGAGCCTCCAGCTCGTTGGCGGTAGCCATTGCCGTAAGCCTAGCGACCTCTGCCTTTTGGGTGTCAATATGCACCTGAACCTTCTCGATTGTCTGCTTGTCCGGAATGGTATCACCAATACCAATGCTGTGGCCGTTTTGCAGGAGCCAGTAGGAAACCACTTGCTGAACGCCATTAAGGAACGCCATGGCACCTTCTGGTCCCAACTCATTGTAGCAGAGATGGATTACACCACCTGAGGCGGAACCAATGCTCTTCTTCTTCATGAGACCATACATGAGCTCACCAGCCTGGATGAGCAATCCGGTATCCTTGAGAGGAGAATCTGACTTGTCTTCGGGGGCATGCAAACTGATCTCTTTGGGAATGACCATAGAAATGATCTGCTTGCCAGTCCAACGTGGCCTCGGCTTTAAGATAGCGGGCTGCGGAATAACACCATCCCAGTTGGGAACCCACAGCATGCAGTTCATGACTTGGTTCTTATCAAGGAAGGTGTCACGTCGGCAAATCTTGTAAGCACCGGCAAGAGAGTCCTGCACAATACCCATCAAGGGACCGTTCTTCTGAGGCGAGACGATATTGTTTGGGACCAAGCACAGCTCCTTGACTTCAGCACGAGTCTCCTCACTCTGAGGAACGTGGAGATTCATCTCGTCACCATCGAAATCGGCGTTGTATGGAGAAGTAACCGAGAGGTTGAGTCGGAAAGTAGAATAAGGCATAACTCGAACGCGATGACCCATCATGGACTCCTTGTGCAGCGAAGGCTGTCGGTTGAAGATGATGTAATCACCATCCATCAGATGACGCTCAACTTTCCAGCCATACTCTAGGGAGATTTGAGCTGCGCGCCTATGGTGTCGCAGGTCGATACGGGTTCCATCGGATCTGATAACGTACTTGGCTCCAGGATGCTCGTTGGGACCGTTTTCGACCAATTGATGCAACTTTCCAATGTTGTAAGGAGTGACCGTCTCAGGATAAGTCAGAGTCCTGGCAATGCTGCGAGGAACACCGACTTCGTGCAAAGACAGGTTGGCATCTCCCGTGATGACTGTACGGGCGGAAAAGTCCACACGCTTTCCCATCAAGTTGCCTCGCAGACGACCCTCTTTTCCCTTGAGACGGGCACGAATGGCTTTGACGGGGCGACCACTCTTTTGCAAGGCACGAGGCTGGCCCGCAATGTCGTTGTCCATGTAGGTCGCAACGTGATATTGAAGCAGCTCCTCGAAGTCTCTCGCAATATGTTGTGGGGAGCCTTCACGAATAGCTTGCTTGACATTTCCGTTGGCACGAATGATATCACCAAGCTTGTAGGTCAAGTCATCTTCGTTTCGCATGCCAGTGCCGGTACCATCCATGGAGATACTGGGACGGACTGGGGGCGGGGGAACGGGGAGGACGGTGATGATCATCCATTCCGGACGGGCGTAATCCGAGTTGAGACCCATGTTACGCAGGTCACTCTCGGAAATGCGACGAAGGATGCTGTGGGCCATCTCTGGAGTGATGGGAGCCGTCTCTTTCCGCTTGGGGCCATCCTCTTGGGCCACTTCGAAAGCGGCCTTCAACTGAAGGGCAACCTGTCGCACTTGAGGCTGCACGTTGCCACAGCCACCATGGCTTTCCACGAGAGCGGGCTTCATGCCAGGCGCAAACTCTTCGTCCTTGTTCTTGTCTGTCCGGTCCTCATTCTCACATCTCCGCTTCTTCTTGCAGACAGCCCATACGCGCTTGAAGCGGAGCTTTGCATCTCGAGTATTGATTGCTGCGACAAACTCGGGATCGCTCTGGTAAAGTTCAGGTTAGCATCCAGTGAGGCAAAGGCTTCATGGAAAAGAGAAGACCAACTTCATCAGCCAGCACTTTACTACAGTTGTGGCAGACAATTTCCAGGATCTTCTTGACTTTCTTGATGAAGCCAGGGTGGTACACGGGCTTTGCCAGTTCAATGTGTCCAAAATGACCAGGACACTCGCCCATAGCCTGTGTGCAGGTCTTGCACTTGAACTGTCGATCGATCGAGCCGAGAAGCGGGTCGTTTAGGCCACCGTCGCGCGGCTTCGTGCCGCCTTCCTCCATCGTTTCGGGGTATAGAATGTGTGCCACGCTCATGCTTTTAATCTCCTCGGGAGACATGAGTCCAAATTGGATCTCTTGCACCGTCTTGAGCGGAGCACTCGAGTGGGTGAAGTGGAGGTTCGCCATTTTCGCGGTCGTTGCGAGATTTCAATTGAACAAATCAAGCAAGTCGAAAAGGATCGGTGAGGGCAGCGGATGCAGCACGCGCCTCGCAGTCGCGGTACAGGTGCCAAGGGTGAAGAAAAACACTGGAATTTTCAAGAGGCGACAAGTGCCTATCACTAGAAACCGAAGAATCGATGGCAGAAGCGGTTGTGCGTTGTTGAGAGATGGCGCCCTCTCGATCGCCAGTCCCGGCCACCAGGCCCAGGAGAACCTCACGGCAGGTCTCCCCCGTCGCCACCAGCTCTGGGGTCGTTTGAACACGTAAATCGCAGGTCGGACGCTCGTATCGTCGTTTTCGGGGTGCTTCCAGGTGCCAGACTCGATGCCCGACACGCTTGGTGATGACTTTGAGCCGTGGGCAGAGTTTTGTCGTGGTTGAGGCGAGACGATCAGAAGAAGCCTGAAAGTTCTGGACGTGAGGCGCTTGGTGGTGCCTCGATGCCGCTAAACCGTATAGGGACCAACCACCTCCTTGTGCCCGCAGCAGTTGGTGCCTCAGGCAGCAAAGAATCGAGGTTCACTTCTGCGCCGCACTGTGGAAAGGAGAGTGGAGAGACAATAAAACTCACGCCATCTTGCCTGGGTTCCGCTGAGAAAAATTCTCATTGTTTTTTGTCAGCAATGAATCTTAATCACACTCCCTAAAGCAACTGCACGCTCCTTTTAGCTTGTTGCCGGTGTGACTCAGCTCCCCGGCTCTTGGTTTCACATCAGCCTCACATGCTGGTTCGCCCAGCCAAGGAAGCCGTGATATTGCAAGTGTCGCAGCAAGATGCAAGAGAAGACATTCAGTATTGTGTGTCTATCTGGTTCTTCAAGCTAGCATCCATCACTTTCGCCACCATTTTCTATCTACCTGTGTCTGCTTATACCTCTACTATATCTATTCTCTTCTAGCATCTGATACATTGCTAGCATCTTCTACTATCGCTACCAACTCTACTCCGTAGTGTGTATTCTATCTACCTACTAAGGTAGAGGTAGATAGCATTCAGTGCCCAATCTCGCTATGCAACAGCGTCTTATATCACGAACAATACCGAACACTGGACGAATATAATTATGATAATAAATACTTCCGTTGTCATATATGGCTACCTATGCTAACGGAGAGGAGAGAAGTATAGCTGTAGTAGCAAGCCTTCTTTCGCATCCTCTTTCGATACTCAAACTCAATGCAGTCCTTGGGACCCTGAATAGCCAATCACTCTCTGATCTAAACTACCTAAGAGACACATCGTAGCCACAAGATTTTATGTCCGCCAGTATTCCTTCCAACGGCTGCGCATATGTAACATCGTACGCCTGTCTGAAGAAGCTACTGCCGGCCGTGATTATACCGGCGGGGCGATGCTTCATATCCCAAACGCAAGCCCCGGAATCTCCTCCTGTCGAGAAGTTCCCTTGAATCTGCTCTCTCTCTGGTGTAACCGATACTATGGCCCATTCTTCACTCTCCCGCTTTATACCGCCTGGGGCTTCTGGATGGCGAACGATCGATTTCACCGTATTCCCCAGACCCAATCTATGCCACCCCCTCAATCCATAGTTTATCACCATCATTGGCTCATCCTCAGCGGCGCAATCGGATCTGAAAATTTGGTCGATTGGGACGATAGTGTTTTTCATGGTTTGGTAGCCGTCTTCCAGCTCAATATCTATGGCCGCTCGTTTTTTTGCAAACTCCAAAAGGATAAAATCAAGGGCCGATCCAATATCCACTTTGTTCTTTATTAAACTGAGAGGCGATTGGTGGGATCCGGGAAGTAGTTCGATTAATGCCCAGTCTCTTGACCATTGGGCGTCACGCTTGGTTGCTGTAGTATCCAACCCAGGCGAGTATAAAAGCCGGCCAAAAGCCCTCGAGGAAGCGCTATTGAATGGCATTATGGCTTGTAGGAGAGAGAGGGTGCCCTTCGCAATAGGTGAGCAAGGGAGATCACCGTCAAAGTGTTCGGAGCTCTGGCGGTATAACGATAGAGTGCTATCCAATAATCTGACCATGTACTCATAATTCGGCTGGTCCACTTGAACGACATCTTTGAAGGGAGCAGACTCTGGGCGACAGTATGTTTCTAAGCCCTCTGTTTTAGAATCAATCACCACGTGTCTACAAGTCAAAGCCAGGACTTTGGGCTCGACTCCAGGAGAAGATGGCGACAAAGAGAGGTACAGGCCTTTCGTGCCCGTCCAAGAATCTCTGTGCTTCATGGCGATAGCGGTGCCAAGCGCGTCAGAGAATGCTGCCCACGTATAACCAGCGAAATACTCGTCATGTTTTGGCATGGGTCCTGAAAAGAGCTGAAAGGTTGTCGATGAGCTTGTCTCGTTTGTAGAGTCGGCAGAAGAGTTTGCAGAAGAGTCGGTAGAGGATTCGACAGATGGTTCGACAGATGGTTCGACAGATGGTTCGACAGATGGTTCGACAGAGGATTCGACAGAGACCCTGGTGGTAGATTTTGTCTCGGACTCATCCTTGGTACAGAAAGTGACCAGAGATTCTCGTATCTCGCAGTCCACGCCATAGATACCATGCGCTTGTAAAATAGATTTGCATCGCAGTGCGATAGCATAGCCATCTCTCCAAGATAGTGACCCAGGGCTGACAGCTATCATAAGCGTGACGGAGCCTTCCCTACATGTATTGATACAGACGCGAAGAATATCAATAGCAGTCCAGTCGGCCACGCTGACAGCTTGTAAGATCTGGACCCTGAGGGAAGACGATGCGTTATTCCACAGCCGATGTAATAACGGACGCCTTCCAACCGGTCGAAGTGTTTTAAGATGGGAATCGTGACAGGCATTATACTGGAACTTGTTTTCGTTTACCCAAATATGCCTGCTTGATCGCGCAACGAGTTTGGGGCAAGAGGGGAGCCCGTAGTAGTAGAGCTGGCGCTCTTCATCAGTTGGAGGCTTTGGAGCCCCTGGACGTACGAATACCTGCCGCATAGTGATGTTGATAGATTTCAAATTTGGTGAGTCTCTACTGTGGGGATTTTGGGGCACCTTCGTGTCTTATATACCTAGCTGAGAATACTGGTGTGGAAACTTTCACTGCTTGCATCATACGAGGTACCTAATAATAGATCAATCAGGATAAAGTTTGGATGATAATACCATAAACTGGAGCAATATACCTGGGTATCCATAGCAGCAGATAGTAGAAACACGTAGCGATAGTAGCAGATACCAGAGTAAAGTAACGATAGTAGCAGATACTAAGAGCTGGGTATCACCTACCTATTAGACAAGTCAAAGGTAAGTCGAGAGAGAAAAGGAAGCTTCCTTTCACATTAGTACTGTTCCGACACCTGAACATTAAGGTCTACAGTTGCTAAGGTGTTAGCTACCTACACGTACCTACCTTGAAATCCAAGGTACCTAGACGTAATACTCTATCCATCCAGATGAAGTATTTGAAGGTACTATATGGTTCAAACCATCAGTTACTATAAATAAGGTATGGGGTATCTTGTGGGTTCTCATGGGAAAGGGAAAAGCTTGTTGTACGCCCAGTAGACGGCTAAGAAAGCGTTGAAAGGTAAAGGGGCTGTTGGGTAAGATTACACAAAAGGGATATTACTGAACTTGCAATATTTCCTCCAATAGGTATATTATACTCGTGGACTCTATATCTCATGCCATCGTAACCGCTGCCTAGCACCATGATTTGTTCATTCATACATGTTTGCCGGCACCAGCAAGGTACCCATTAAAAAAGTAAAAGTAAAAAACGCCTTGAAATCAAGTCTCCATCCAAATCATTTCTTTTTATTTCTTCCTCCCCTCGCCCCAGCCCCTCCCTTCTTGCGCACAGGGGCAGCTGGTTCAGCTCCAGCGCTTAAATCAGCCTGGCTTTCTCCCGGACTCCTTCGGCGCATGGTTCCGGTCGAAACCGCAACGAACTCATCTTCACTATCACTTTCGCCAAGGTTAAATAAGATGGGCATGCGAAAATTCTCCAGATCATCCCCCTCTTTTGCGTGATCAGCCGACAGCACATCCACGTCCTCGTCCTCGGCGTCAAGCCGCCTCCTGTGAATCTCTTCTTGCGCATATATGTCAAACTCGTCCTCTCTCTCCATGTATTCCACGTTTTCTTCCACCTCAGCAAAGTCTGGCGCCAGCGCTGACCATTTTTGAGGGCTGATGACGGACCATACGTATATCCGGCCAGTCTCCAATCCACATGCCGCCAGGAGCGGACGAGAAGGGTGCCACTCAATGACGCCCTGCTCCTCCTTGGGGTCTTTCAGCATGCAGACTAAACTGCCGTGATTCCTCTCCCAAACGTAGAGTTCGTGGTTGTTATACGTAGACGCGGCCACGTACTCGCCCGTTGCGCTAAACGTAACATGGTTCCAGGACAGTTTGTTAACAACATCTTGGAATTTATGCTCGAGTGGCAACTGTATTGTATCCGGGTCGAGATCTTCCACGGAAAGATTTGGTATTCGAAACGTCCGGATGATTCGATCTTGTGAATTTACCAAGAGATCTCGGCCAGAGCCTGTTATTCGCATGGTGGTGATAACACCTGTGCATATTTTTTCTGTGTATATGATTTCGAGTGTTTTGGTATCGATAATATTCAATTTGCCTTTACTCGTGCCTGCTATTATGTGGTCACCGGTCGCTGTCCAAATCGCAGACGTCGTCATCTGCTTTGCATCTTCTTTTGCTTGTTTCTCTTTGAGAGCAATATCGCTGTCGGCGTTCGACCGCCTCGGCGCTGACGGTAGAACGCGCTTGACGTCTACTGGTTCGGAGATGTCGACTAGGAGTGGCTGCTCTTCGAATAGAGACGCGACGAAAAGATTACTAGGTGAGTAGGTGAGTAAATGGGGCAATGGCGCCGTTTGCTACGCAAGATGCAGGATGCACGTACTGATTCTCGGGATGAAGCTCTGCCATGTAAGCTGGAGCCCGAAACCGCACTTCACGATGTCGATGCCCAGTCTCCAGGTCCCAGAGGATGGCCTTCCAGCCTTGGCATGTCGAGAGTAGATACCGCCCACACTTTGACCAGCTCAGGAATGTGATACTCTTGTTGTGCCCCCTCATCTTCAGAGCAACGCCCATTGTCTCCAGATCCCAAACAACGACGGTTCCATCCACCCGGCCGGAGGCAAGGTAGTCGCCCTTGCGGTTAAATCTCAGCATCGTCGCATGGCCGGATCGGATCGTGCTGGTCATGCTCTCAGGATAATCCTGGAGGAGATAGTCGTCGGAAAGAAGGAGATTCATCGTGGCGGTAACGAGGCTGGGGCTGTTCGAGAGAAGCAGAGCAACATGGTAGAGGAGACGCGAGAAGGCTGCGGGCTCAAAGCACGAATGCGAAGCTGCAAGGCTGATGAAAAGAAAGCGCCACGCGAGGGGTGCATCTAATATTTCACCACAAGGCGTGAGCCTAAACGCGGAATTTGAGGGACCTGAAAATGCTCCACCGCGGGGATGTGCGCTAGCATGACGCACAAGTACTCGGTATCTCTGTTTACGCTCAAATGAGTAAACCTTTTCTTTTACAAAAGCTCCGGCAGCTTTTGCCGGATTTCGGAATGGCGAACTCCAAGTACGATGAACTAATTCCGGGTTATGCTGTCACATGCTAAATGGTGGTCTAGGTTTGAATATGTTCGAAATTTCGAGCAGCCAGACTCCCTCTTGCCCAACACATGGATTGTAGTACGCATAGATGGCAGGGGATTCACCAAGTAATGGCACAGATGAAATGGAACTGTTGCTATAGTATCTAACAATTTTATCCAAGGATGTGTGCCAAATATGAGTTCGAAAAGCCAAATGACCGAAGAGCACTTGAGCTTATGAATGCGGCGGCCAAGGCTGTGGTGACTGATATCCCCGAGATCACTATTGCCTATGGAGTAAGCGACGAGTATAGGTAACACGTTCTTATGAATCGACTATTCCAGGTATCTTCTACAGTCTAACGCTTCTCAGTTTTGTTTTTCACAAATCTAGCAACCTCTTCGAGAGGAGAGCGAGGTGCGCAGCAAGAATCTCAGCTTACCCTACATTCGGCGTCGACTGACAAAACTTCAGCAAACTCGTCACCACAATTGTGTCTACATTTACAGCGAATTACGTCTACTTGTGGCCGACCTATTTTCCAGACACTCCCCTCTCATTCCCTCTCCCGACCTTTGACGGTCGAGCGGTCTGCTACCCAACTGTGCAGAATCTTCGTGATTACATGAGCTGGCGGCAAGCTGATTGTAAGGCGACTCTAATTTTCAACACCAGGTTCTGTTTTTACTGACGTAAAAGGTCACATAAATAATCTATACAACACAGCCTTCTGGAAGTTGATACAACTCGGAGGCCTCGACAACAAGGAGGCAGAAAAAACACTTGCAGTTGGTATTCTCTTTCCATATCGCACTGATATACACTAACTTGGTTTCTAGGGCACGCTGGCTGCGGATAAGAATGAAATACTGTTTTCTCGGTTCAAAATTAATTACAACAACGAACCGGAAATCTTCAAGAAAGGAAGCATTGTGTTCAGAGATGTGAGGCTCCTTGCTGATGGAAATTGGCATATTGAAGGCTGACCTTTGCATGTAGTACGAACTGGCCGAGCCCAGCAGTCACGATGCCGCCGCCGCAGCAGATGCCCTTTCGGAGCCGGCAGTGCAATCAAAATCACAAGCTGAAAAAGACAAGAAGCGCAGGGCCAAGGCGAAGGTGGTGGTGGAACACTTGGACATCATCAAGGATGAATTTTGGGATAGACGGCCCTGGATCTTGTCGGGCAAGCCTGGCAAGGCGTCCAAAGAAATACAAATTTGAAACGCTGTCTATTGGGTATTCCTTGTGCTTGAAAAAGATAGCTAAACTCCCTGCTAATGCGCCATATGTGATCCTGTTTTTCTAGTTTTCCCATTAACCGCCTGAGGCCTTCATCTTCTTCAATTCTTTCCTCCGTCGCTTTTCCTCCTTCTGAGCACGCCGAAGCGCCTTGTCCTCTGCCACACTACTGCTGGAGTCTGATGTGTCCTTCTTTGCCTCGGCTCTTTTCAACCTCCTTTCGAGCTTTGCTGCTCTTCTTAGTGCTCGCGCCTCTTTCCGTTTCCTCTTCTCCTCTTTTCGAGCCCTTTTCTCTTCCTTGGTTTCTTTCTTCGACTTTGTGGATTTTGTCTTCGTGGACTCTGTCTTCTTCTTCTCGTCGCTGTTATCAGACTCCGTGCTAGTCGAGTCATCCGTGGCCAATGCGCTGAGCGTTCCCTCAAGGAACCCTCCCCGAACAAATGAGGCGTAGATGGAGTATTTTGATACGCTTCCAGGGTCGAGCGCATTGAGTTTCCCGGTCTTGATCGTCTGCTCGACTTTGCCTTCCTTGGACGTGTCGAGGCCCTTAAGCTGTTCGTCAAAGGCATCCATCCACCATAGGTCGCTCGTAAAGTGTTTTGTGTTTCCGAGACCTTTGGTGTTGGTCTTTCGATTTAGTAGTAGGGGTTTCGCCAGGCCAATTGCGTCGTTCGTCTTATGCAGAGAATGGCCTGTTCCGCGCCATCCCTGGGCGGAAAGGAGCGCATGCGCATCCATTGTGTCGAAGAAGTTGGTGGTACGGCTGCCGTACCTGGAAATTAGGGGATGGCGGTGCTATCGTGGGCGATAATGCGACATGAGGCTCGAGAAGTAAAATCTTAACAGCTGCCCTTTGGACTGCCTGCACTGGGACTGGTTGGGTAGGAGAGATGGGAATTTTTCTAGCGGGGCCGGGCTTATCGAGCGCTTATCAGCTGCCTCACTAAAAAATACTAGCGCTTGGCACACTGCTCTGTGCTAAGGCCTTATAATCAAAATTACTTGGCCGTATGTCAACTCTTCTGCATCCTCTGGGTGGTCTAGTTGGTTCATGGCGTTCGACTGTAATGGGTATCATCTCATCGAAAAGTCGGCGGTTCGATTCCGTCCCCGGAGAACAATTCTCCCCGGAGAAGAGTTACATTTTTTTGGCCTTTTTTCGGCTTCTTTTTTTTATTGCATTCTTTTCTTCAAATACCTTTTTGTAGCTGAATCAAACAGAGATATCTCTTCTCTTCTATCTTGCCCATAGTGATTTTGAGATCGAACCGCCCTTTTCCATTTGTAAAGTGATTCTGGTTGGTAGGTTCTGACCAAATGCTCGCCACTCCTTACTAATTAATGCACTAAATCACTGGTTGGTCAAGCGCTGGAATAGACGAGCGTGCTCACTAAAAATAGAGCCAGATTGAAAGCGAGACACCATCTCAGTGATTGGGTCTGATGCGGTCAGCAATGGATTGCCTTTCACATGCACTTTGCTCACGGCGATCTGCATGCTTTCCCATCATTTCCCCGCCTTGTTCAAATTGATGTTTTCAAGTCAAGTCTTTAGCCGTGTCTCGCTTCCTCACACGATTTAGACCGCATTGGCTGAAGGATTTAATGGCCCGGCAACAGCCAATTAATCCCTTGTGACGTGTGAGGTGCCACTACTAGCCGCTGTCAATGCCTAATGCCAGGCATTCGATCAATCATCTTCCTACATCGACAAATGCTTTTGAGATTTAGAGCATCTTTTTAACGGTTACCGATCAAAGAAACGGCGGCCAAAGAGCTCAAGGCTCGTCAATATGGCGCCACCATGTGCAGACCCGCGGCAGGTCATCATCGCTTTAAATTCAGCTAGGCGAAAGGCATTGCTGGCTCTTGTCCAAGAAATCATCTCCTACATGATTTCTGAGCTGGAGACTCGCCCAGATGAGCTTGGATCCATTGCTCCAGACGATGAAGGCAACAGATATGATGAATCACCACGCTCGGATTCTCCGGAGAAGGCGGGCAGTTCGGTATCTCAGAGCGACAAGTCTCAGAGCTTACCACGGCCAAGAGTCAAGACCACCAAGCAAGCGGAGAAATCCTTAAGAGCAGCATTGGCATACACTCTGGAATGGAGGGACGAAGTAGTATCCAAGCTCGAAGAGATTGTGAACGTGGAAGATACCCAGAAGATTGTGGCTGAGAGGAAGACCCGGCGTGAGATGTTGGACAAGAGGCAATTGGAGATGCCCAATGACGATCGGCAGCTCCTTGATATAGATGGAGTACCGGTAGACGAGACTGAGGATGTCTCCATGCTACAATCAGCATATAAACCGATACCTACGAGGCTGACAACTATCCCGGTTGAGGACCGAGAGGAGGCGCTTGCATGTGTGCTGCTGTTGCTCCTATCTACTGGGAAGTATTCTGCCCATTCTCGTGCTCTAGTCCTTTACTTGGCGTCATCTTTGGAGTTGTCTAGTACATTCCTTAACAAGACAGAAGCCGAGATCGCCATGTCTCTCATGGAATCTTCTACGGCCGACAATGACCAGAAAGAAGCAATGTCAGCCGATGCCGAAGCTGCTAAGCGTCGACAACAAAACAAAGTCAGCCGCTTTTGGAAGGTTGGGTTGGCGTCTGTCGCCGGAGCTGCAGTTATCGGAGTCACGGGAGGCCTGGCCGCTCCTCTTGTTGCTGGAGCCATTGGAAGCGTACTTGGAGGAGTTGGCTTGGGAGGTGTTGCGAGCTTTCTCGGCATCTTCTGGATGAATGGAGCTTTAGTCGGGACATTATTTGGCGCTTATGGCGCCAAGATGACTGTAAGTTGAGATGTTTTGATGGAAGGACAAATGTGTGTGCTGACATACTTATTCAGGGTGAAATGATGGACAATTATGCAAAAGAGGTGGAGGACTTCCGCTTCCTTCCTCTCAAGGAAGAAGTTACTACAGACGTCCCGGAGAATCTAACTAAAGAGCAAAAAGAACAACGTCGTCTGCGTGTTACCATCGGAATCAACGGCTGGCTCAATTCAGAGGATGACATCAAGAAACCTTGGCGCATTCTCAGCACTGACACGGAAGTTTTCGCCCTGCGATATGAGATGAGCGTCCTTCTTAGTTTGGGGACCGCTCTGAATGACCTTGTTCGTTCTTTTGCTTGGACGGCGTTCAAAGCTGAAGTCATCAAGCGAACTGTTCTGGCGACCCTTTGGGCCGCCCTCTGGCCAATCCAGGTTTTGGCTGTTGCTTCTAACGTGGACAATCCTTTCAACCGAGCGAACAACCGATCCAGAAAGGCCGGCCAGCTTCTTGCTGACGCACTCATTAACAAGGTACAAGGTGAAAGACCCGTCACACTTATGGGCTATTCACTTGGTGCTACCACGATCCATGCTTGTTTGCAGTCTCTCGCTGAGCGTCACGCCTTTGGTCTGGTCGATACAGTCGTCATCATCGGCACCCCAGCGCCTTCTGATCCGGCCCATTGGCGGGCCATCCGACCTGTGGTATCTGGCAAGATCTTTAATGTCTATTCAGAGAACGATATGGTCCTGGGTTTCGTCTACCGGATGCACAGTCTCGCACTTGGAGTTGCCGGTCTTCAGCCAATCAAAGATGTTCATGGCATTGTGAACGTGGACTTGAGTGAGAGCGTTAGCGGCCATCTTCGGTATCCTTCTCTTACGGGCGAGATTTTACGCAAATGTGGCTTCGTCAACGTCAAGGCTGGAAAGGATATCGAAAGAGACGATGTCATCCAGATGAAAGATAAGGAAGAAGACCTCATTGACTTTGGAGATGGTCATAGTGATAAGGTCCATAATGGAGATAGGTCTGCCGAATCTCTTCATGGCCTGACAATCACGCCTCCAGCTCTTATGTCACACGCTGAGCCCGCCAATCCACCTCTTCCGAAGCGGCCAGCCAACGAGCTCCAAGTCGAAAGCCCGCGTCTTCCTCCGCGGAAAACTGAGTCTGCACCTCCTGTTGTACAAGATACAGATGAGGCAGCCCCTCCTTTACCTAGACGCCAGACAGCACCATTGCAGCAATTGACAATCCCCCGACGCCCGGTCCCAACAACGGTGGTGACAACAATGGTGGAGGAACCGGCTAGCCCAGAAACGCCGCTCACCCCCCAGTACGATTCCGATGATGGGCACCACATGTCTATCGCGATGGTGAATAGAGATGAGGATGATGACTAGGGTTTAGCGATGGCTATTGAAGAACACTTTTTGGTAAGATGTTAATCTAGAGACATTCGACAAATAGCAAGAATATACGAGACTCTAGATATTGGTACCGACTATAACAGAAGTAGGGGCAGTAGAGGAGACTAGCAGTAGAAGAGGGGAGTAGATAATAATCGAAGAGAGTAGCGATAATAGATGATAGTAGATAATACTAGAAGAGAGTAGCGGTAGTAGACAATAGTAGATAGTACTAGACGAAAGTAGCGATAGTAGATGGTAGTAGAAGAAAGTAGCGGCAGTAGACGATACTAAGGGGCCAGCTATCTACTATGAATATCCGACATCTTAAAGCTGTTAAAGTTGATTAACGATCCTCGTAATGATGGGGATTTTACGTGATGTCGTTGGCATGAGCGAACAGATCTATTATCACAGCTGATTTCATATAACTGCAGTCAACAGGAAGACCATTGGACTAAATGTTATTCTTGAGATGTTGAAAAGCAGTATCGGTAATCCAGAGGTTGAGCTGGTATTTATTGCTGGCGCTGTAGCTATTGGAGTCACGGGAAGGGTTGACCACACAAAGGGACGGTCAAGCAGTATATGCACCCACATAGGTATTGTTATCATTACAATACTCACGCAACCTTAAGTTCCCCCGAATCTATACCAACCGCCAGCTGGAATTTGTCCGTGATATCAGTTGCCAGTTGGCCGGGCGGTCGGCCGGGCGGTCAGCCATAACTATTTATCCTACTCTTCTCTCTCTCTCTTCTTCTTCTTCTTTTTTCTTCTTTTCAACTCCTCCTTCTCCTCCTCCTCTTTTGTGGTCTTGCAACTTGGTTTTTGCTCTGGAGTGTGATCTAAAACGTTTTCTCTTTCAAACCAGAGTCGCCCTGTTCCTAGTAAAAATGTTTTCTTTTTAAACCGGAGTTACTCTGTTTCTGGTCAAAACATTTTCTTTTCAAATCGGAGTTACTCTGATTCTGTCTACATCGATTTACTGACGCCACACTCAACCAGGACGACAACACTATTCAAGATGACCCAACTCACGTTGCTTTCTATTAGAGATTTGGAAATAAACGAAGACGATGAGCACTATGCCGACGGTGTGGCATTGGTCCGAACCTATTGGGCGTTTTCACTCGAGATGACCCAGAGAGACCGCGAGACGTTGCGCAGCATTGCTACTCTGGGCGACTACGAGCACACCGCTTCTTCTAGAAGAATTCCGTCGAACCATCGCCTCTACAAAAACAAGCTCGGCGCTTCGGTGGCAGGATGGATGACGATGCGAACGCTATACAAAACGTTGCCAGATAAATACATCCAAAGGATGACGGCAAAAGGAATAGTTCTTCCAACAAGAGATCGCACGGAACGATACTTCGAATTGGTAGGAGATGCGAATATGCCGAAGCTGTTTAACATGGATACGCAGGAGGCACGCCAGTACAAAGCAGATTATCCGAATTTGAGACAGACACCAACCACTTTCCGGAGACCTGGTGCGATAATCGGAAACGCGACGGTGGCGATGCTGAAGGAACTGAACGCCGAAATATTAGAGAGGGGAGCCTGGGCTGCAGCCCGAATTGAAGCCCAGGCGGCGGCGACGACGGCCCAGCAGGGCAGCCAAGGCAGAAGGAGTGCACCGAACAGACGTCGTGACAGGCAGAGAGTGGCACCTCAACCTGCTCCCCAGACGGTGGCCGCTGCTCGTAGGGAGGGGCGGGCAGAGGGGCGAGCAGAGACAATCCAAAGGTTGGTCTCATTTGTGAATGCGGCGTCCACATCAATAAATGCGGCGACAGCATCGGTTGGTGCGGCGACAACATCGATTGGTGAGGCGACAACATCGATTGGTGAGGCAACAGCATCAATCAATGAGCTGTGGGCGGAGTTGTTGCGACAATCTCAGTAATTGGATTCGCGACGGTGTGGATAATTGGCTCTGGACTGGGGACGAACGACATTTGAGACAAACTGGTGGGATGGCTGGGAACGATTTTCTCCAATAATTGCCAACAATTTTACTATATGGTTTGACGGTGGCGTTAATTTGGTCTTTTTATGAACACGGGCTTGGGAATTTGATTACGGTGATGGGTAGGAGGAAACCAGGGAAAATCGGCGTGGACTGGGATCGTTGGGAACGTTTTTACTTGCTAACAGATTTTACTATATGGTATGGCGACGGTATCATAGCTTGGTCTTTTTACGAACAAGGGCTTGGGATTTGATTATGGCGGTGGGTTATAACGCCAAATCTTATAGGGCCAACAGGGCATTAGGTTACTTTCAAAGTCAGCATCCAAGGACAAAAAGGATTCCAAACTCCAATCTCTCTCTCTCTCTGTCTCTCCTTTTTTTTTTTTTTTTTTTTTTTTTTTTTAAAAAAAGTGTTTGTTTATGACTGTAATTTTATAATTAA